TATATTTATTGAAGCATTTCTAATTAGTAGTTTTTAGAATAAAAGAGTGTTTGCTATTACGCTGGCGATTGAATACATCAGGTTGTCAGCTTGGCCGCACCTTAGTCAGTTTATACCCCACCAGGGGCATGCAGGGGTGCCTGGGTCCATCTCCCTCTCCCTCCCTACCCCACTTTCTCTCTCACTCCCCGACGCCACTCCCTCTCCCTCTCTCCCCCCCACCACACACTCTCTCTCCCCCCCCCTAGCCCACTCTCACTTTCCCTCACCCCACTCTCACTCTCCCACAATACGCCACTGTCTCCCCACCACTCACCATCACCCCCCCAGACTCTCCCCACCACCCCACATTCTCACCACCCACCCCCACACTCTCCCCCCCACACTTACCCCGCCCCACACACACATACACACACACACATCATAATTAAAAGTTGAAGAACTGGAAAGACTGTCGTTAAAACAAGAACCACGATTTCACACTCAAGCAGACTGGCAGATTTTTCACGTGCTTTTTCCCACGCCTGCTACCACACCACACCCACACCTGCTACCACACCACACCCACGCCTGCTACCACACCACACCCACGCCTGCTACCACACCACACCCACGCCTGCTACCACACCACACCCACGTCTCCTACTACACCACACCCACGCCTCCTACTACACCACACCCACACCTCCTACTACACCACACCCACGCCTGCTACCACACCACACCCACGTCTCCTACTACACCACACCCACGCCTCCTACTACACCACACCCACGCCTCCTACTACACCACACCCACGCCTGCTACCACACCACACCCACGTCTCCTACTACACCACACCCACGCCTCCTACTACACCACACCCACGCCTGCTACCACGTGGGTGTAGAAGTACATTATTATTATTCCATTATTATTATTATTTAAAGAAAGAACAAAAAAGCCTGGAAAAAAGATGGCAATAGAGAGTCATTGAAGAGAACTAGAAATGACTATACCCAAGTTAGCACAGAAGTCGAGAGGCAATTTGGAAATGACATTCCTGCAAAAGTTAAGCACCAGCCAAAGCTGTTCTTTGGCCATATAGGAGAAAAACAACAATTCAAGATCATGTACTCAGATTAAGGGGACGAGAAGGAATTCTCACAGAAAATAATGAGGTATATGAGGAACTGGATAAGATTTCAGGTCTTTACAATAGAGCTAGCGTAGAGACCAAAGTTGTGAGATGAAAGGGGAACACATTGGACATTGGATGACATTGTGGTTACTGTATAAGAGGTAAGGAAACACCTCGAGGATCAAGATGTGGCAACAGTCAATGGGACCAGACCTAATCTCCCTATGGCTGCTGAAGAAGACTGCAGAAGTACTTTGTCACCATCCTGTAAAATTCTTAATAAAATGATTGAGACAAAAAAATCTCCCAGAAATCTGGAAAAAGGCAAACGTAGTTCCAATATTATTGTAACGGGGGGTGGGGGAAATAGCTCTATCTTGTCCATTATTCCACCCCCCAGTTAACTAACGAGGCCGGGGGAAACAGCTCTCTCTAGTCCGTTATCCCGTCCCCAGTTAGCTAACTATTCTAGAGCACCTCCAGAGTTCCTAAGGCAACCTCTCTCGTTCAACACCTTGTAACCTAGGTATTTGACTACCTAGGTGCTAAGACTACAAGGCGCCGTCACTTGATCAGTTACCCGAAACTCCAGAGAGAACTCTAGAATACAGAATCATTGCCACAAAACGTATAAGAGAAAGCGAAAGGAAAGAAATGAATAGTGAAGTAATTAGTGAGGGTTCGGGGTGAGAGGTAGGGAGGTGGGAGGAGCGAGGAGGGTCATTAGTTGAAAGTGAGAGTTTAGAGAGGGGTGGAGGGAGAGGTGTAGATAGGTAGAAGGAGAAGAGTAGATAGTAGAAGTCGAAAGTAGATAGTAGAAGACGAAATGCTGCCACCATCCATTCATGATCATTACATACAAGACAAGGAATGGAACTTGTCTGTATCAAAATATTCTCAAAGGATGTTATCATGAGTTCATTATTAGTATGTTCCCTCTGTACCATGTATCAACTCCAAACATGTACTCATTAATTATCTTGAATCTAGTAACCACCGAGGCTTTCTCACCTCAACTCAACTCTCTAGGGAACACAGTGAAAGACCATTTAAATAATAAATTCAACAATTATATTTTTTCATGATAAGTATCATAACTTAAGCAATCCAATTAAAATGTTAACGATTAATATTCAAAGTGAGTCATCCTCCAAGAATCTGAGAACACTACAATTGACTGCCCCTGATCATCACACAACATATGTAAACACGACCAAGTCACCTCACTGTTCACTCACCGAGGACTGAGTCTAAGTTGAATAGAGAGGGGGGGGGGTCTGTAGCTTGACAGAGACTGTCTCGCCCCTGCCGGCCGACAGCCTCCCTGCTAGGGACGTCTTCTCTACTGGCTCGTCTGCTGTTCTGTTGTCTTAATGCTTAATGCTCGATAGTTCTCCGAGTATATATTGGGGAACCTAGTACTAACTCCGCCCACAAATAGATAGCCTCCGGCACTACCAAGCCACTCCTTAAACGTCGGCAAGTTTGAAGGCTACCAGGCTCCAACTAAGAGATTATCAGAAGCAAGGTGAAATTCGCATGATCTGACCTCAGGTCACTTGGGGTCATTAACGCTTTGAGGTGTGAGTTCTCAGGCAGACAACTGGCGCCTCTCAGATCCTTGTCTGTGACTCATGTACTCTATGTCTGTATTAAACTAAACCAAACACTTTACAGTGTTACATTATAAAAGGGGATAGAAAGGAGGTCTTAAATTACAGACCCAGTGTCATGGACAAGTATTGTGTGTAAAGTGTTGAAGCAAGTAATCAGGTTGAGAACGGTGGAGCACCTAGAAAGGATCAACTATGTGACAAGAGATCAGCATGAATTTAGAAAGGGAAAGTAGTGCCTGACAAACGTGACTCAGTTCAATGACAGGATTACTAAAACAAGACAGGACAATGCAGGCGATGAGTCACAATAACGTGGCTGAAGTAGTTTGACCAGACCACACACTAGAAGGTGAAGGAACAAAGGGAAGGTGAAAGGTGAGAATGGTCTAGGACGGACCGAAACGTCGTTGTCCCTTCACCTTCTAGTGTGTGGTCTGGTCAAGACCGGACAAGAAGGCTGGATGGACCGTATTTTCCAAACGCATCTGACACTGTTCCTCGTGAAAGACTGGTGCACAAAATTAAAATATAAAGAGGCAGGCTGGGATAACTGAGGAAAGACTGACCTAAGTAAGGGAGCACCTGAAGGTCAGAAGCCAAAGAGGTGGTTTCAAGCTGGAGGAATATAACAAGTGAGGTCCCACAAGGTCCCGGGACCACTGCTCTTCCTAATGTATTTGAACCACCTTCCGGAGGGAGTAAGCTTGGACATATCAATGTTTGCTGATGACGTAAAGCTCATGAGGAATGTAAAAGCAGGAGGAGGATTGCAGAAAGTTACAGGAGGACATACACAAACTCCAGGAGTGGTCAAACAAATGGTTGCTTGAATTCAATCCCAACAAGTGTAAAGTAATGAAGACGGGAATGAAAGGAGACCAGAAGGCATTTACATCATAAGGGGGATGCAACTACAAGAATCGGAAGGGTAGTTTTTAGAGTGGATATAGTTCCAACATTAATGCCTGATACACACACAAGCAGGATAACATCGGTGCAACATGGTACACTGGTAAAAATAACAACATCGTTTAGAAACCTAAATGAAGACTCCTTACTTTGCAGTGATTTCGAGGATCAACGTCCGCGCGGCCCAGTCTCCAACAAGGTCTCCTGGTTGGTCGGCTGGTGAACCTGGCTAATGGAGGCGGCTGCTCGCAGCCTGACTTCTGACTCACAGTACCGGTCTGGAATCCACACTTTGTGAAGCCTAAAACTAAAGCAACATACACAATACTGATAGGAAGAGACAATGACAGCCTTTTTAAATTGAGAGAAAAAGAGAACAGGAGGACAAGTGGAAACTCACCGAAGAGAACAAGTTATGGAAGTCACCGCCATCCACAACTTTAAGAACAGATTCCACAATGGATTTGAAGGTCAGATTAGTTAAGCTATAACGCAACAGGTACAACAAAGATTGTAGGCTGGGTATAAAGAGCTCACTTAGCTGGGTATAAAGAGCTTACTTAGCTGGGTATAAAGAGCTCACTTAGCTAGGTATAAAGAGCTCACTTACCTGTGGTTACTGATAAGTCAGCACCACCCCCCCCCCCCCCAGCGATCTCAACACCACTCACTGTAGCTGGCAACCATTCATGGTTTTTCTCCACAATAAAAGCGATAAATAGTCAAGATTTAAACTCGGTGTGTTGATGTTATAACCTTGTGAGTGTACCCCGTGGCGTGACCGCCCATCCCCACTTACTGGTACACCACACTTCACACAGGAGCCGGTAGCCGAGCGGACAGCACACTGGGCACGTGATCCTGTGGTCCCGGGTTCGATCCCGGGCGCCGGTGAGAAACGATGGGCAGAGTTTCTTTCACTTTATGCCCCTGTTACCTAGCTGTAAAATAGGTACCTAGGAGTTAGTCAGCTGTCACGGGCTGCTTCCTGGGGTGTGTGGTGTGAAAAAAGGTAGTAGTAGTAGAAACAGTTCATTGACAATTGAGAGGCGGGCCGAAAGAGCAGAGCTGAACCCTCGCAAGCACAACTAGGTGAATACAACCAGGTGAATACAAGGCCCTCAACTGAGTATATACAATATTTGTAATATTAATACAATGACAAAAGCTTCTATGGCTTTGTAATTCAGTTACGAATAAAATTTGTTGATAAAATAAATTTCTTTGTTAGATAGATAGAAAACGTGCAATGTTTTTTTCCCGTGTGGGTATGTATAGGTATAGGGGCTACTGAAGCCCCTATCCGGTGTGGGTATGTTATGGTGCAGGGGTGACGGTCAATACCTGGTACTTACCCTTGGCACTGAAGCAACTAAGACAAGCGGACGGTCATAGGAGTTATCAGCCTCCGAACGGAGAACTTGAGGTCCGGCTGGGGCACCCAGCAGATGTGGGACAGGTGTAGTACACAGGACGCTATGTATCTCCCTTGTGAGATGTAGTACACAGGACGCTATGTATCTCCCGTGTGAGATGTAGTACACAGGACGCTATGTGTCTCCCGTGTGAGATGTAGTACACAGGACGCTATGTGTCTCCCGTGTGAGATGTAGTACACAGGACGCTATGTATCTCCCGTGTGAGATGTAGTACACAGGACGCTATGTATCTCCCGTGTGAGGTGTAGTACACAGGACGCTATGTATCTGGAGGTGGGATGCAGTACACATGGGTACACACACCAAGTTGCCCCAGCGGACATCTCCCACACAGCCTTAACACCCGCGTGTTCACTAAACTCATCGGCTGACAATAACCAGTCCCAATCGGTGAGAAGTACAGTTAATAGTTTACAAGGTGAGTGCTGGTCACTACTTGCACTTGGGTAAGAGTGGAGAGAGTGATGGGCGTGAGTGGTAGAGGGAGGAGATGAGGGGGCGGTGAGGGCCAGGTCAAGAACCGGTTGTAAGGTTGCAAGGGCCGCTGTCAGCCCGGGCCGCCGTGAGCGCTGCGTGGTCGGGCTCGTGGCCGGCCACACGCACACTGACACGGCTCTCCACCAATGCCTGCCTCACTCCCTCACTCCCTCCCTCCCTCCCTCCCTCTCTATCTCCCTCACCGGCCTCACCTCCCCGGTACCACCAACATCCTACCTTAACCCCATACAACCTTCCCTTCCCTCACCTGCCTTCCTACTTTCCCTAAGCTCCTTCCGGAAGGAAAACAACTACAGGAATCGGGAAAAGATAAATACTGTGGAGTGGATATAATGCCAACACTGACAGAAGAGGCACATGTAAACAGGACAACACTGACAGCATATGAAAAGTTGGTAAACATTACAATCACATTTAAACTCTAAATAAGGACTCTTTAAATGCAATCTACAGTGTATAACCTAGGTAAGGCTAATTCTATAATATGCAGCACCTGAAGAAATACTAAACTAAATATGAAAACGTTCTGAGGTTTGCAACAAGACTGGTGCCTGCAATAACAGGCCTAAGCTACGAGGACATATTAAGGAAATTGACTCTCACAACCCAAGAAGAAGAGAGTAGTTATGACCACCACATACACTGTGGGGCATGGACGTGGTGGACAAGGACACCCTCTGTAAGTTGAGGGGGAAGAAGATCGGGAGAACATCTGCAAACGCAAGTAAGTCCAATTAATGTAAGGAAATACTCGTAGCTATAACCGTGGTCAACAAGTGGAATGCACTGGCAAAAGGAACTACTAGACACAACTCTATCCACAATTTTAAAGCCAGATACGATAACGATCGTGAAATTGTGAAAAAATGCAACAAGTACAACTATGGCAGATGGCGCGAAATGTGTAGCTAATCCTGCCACCGTTGCCATCACAGTCAGGTAAGCCCCTCCCTCTCCCTCTCCTTTCCTACACCAAGGTATTATCCTAGCTTGAATCCCTTCATTACTTTATATATATCCTTCACTCATCCATACTGGAACACCTGTACCGAAGATTTACTATGTAATGCAACAATTATATATTTCATGTGATGTAATTCTAGTCTGAGCTTGTAAAACCACTTTAAACACCTTCTGGAGTTTACCTGGAGAGGGTTCTTCTCCTACCCAGGTCGGGGCCGGCCTTGACTTATGACAACTTGCTCCAACAGACTGTTGCTTGGGGCGGCCCGCAGGCCACCATATTCACCACAACCCAGTTGGTCCAGCACTTATTGCAGATGCTTGTCTAATTGCTTCTTGAAAAAGTTCATTTTTGTTCCGGCAATATGTGCTTGTTGGTTGAGTACTGAACAGCCGTGGACCTCTGATGTTCAGTGTTCTCCTATTGTGCCTATTGCACCTTTACTCCTCACTGGTTTTATTCTGCATTTCCTTCTGTATCTTTCGCTCCAGGATGTTATTTTACCGTACAAATTTGGGACCTGGCTTTTAAGTATCTTCCATGTATATATTATGTGAAACCTTTCGCGTCTCCTTTGCAGAGTACGTTTCAAGAGCTCTGAGACGGTCCCAATAATTTAGGCGCTTTATCGTGTCTATGCGCGATAGACACGTATATGTTCTCTGTATTCCCTCTTATTTATTATCTCTCTCGTGTTCTGAAAGGGGAAATCGAGTACCGCGCAGTACTCAAAGTGGGACAGCACAAGTGATTTAAACAATATTAACATTATATTGAGATCCCTGGATTGGAACGATCTCATAATCCATTCTATAATTTCCTGGCCGACGCTAGATTTGCTTGGTTATTTTCGCTAAACGTCTGGTCGCCAGACATTATAATTCCCAGTTATTTTACATTTTATTTTCCTTCTGTGAGTAGATTTGATTGCGTCTTGTATCCTATATCTCGTCCAAGTTCTTCATTAATACCATACCGAAGTACTGGAACTTACCGCTGTTTAAACATTGTTATTTTCCGTTGATGACCAACCCACACACCAGAAGATGGAGAAACGACAACGTTTCGGTCCGTGCTGGACCATTATCAAGTCGATTGTGACAGTGGTCCAGGACGGACCGAAACATCGTCGTCTCCTCATCTTCTGGTGTGTGGGTTGGTCATCATATCTTGTGTAGTGGAGCTTTCTCTGCTGATTTAAGTGCTTCTGATATCTCTGCATCCGCGTTTTTCCCCTCAACTACACTGAGCATGTATGCTACAGGCACTTTGCATTTTTGTATAAACATGGAATTCCAAAAGTCGGGACCTGGGGCCGAGTGCGTGGGAATGCTGTTAATTTATCTTTCAAAATCTGCAGCGTTCGTGTTATATCAGTTACATTGTCAGGGGGTTTGGATATCATTCATACAGAAGCTGTCCGAAACTTCCACTTTCATGTTAATTCGAGTGCTAAACCTAGCATCATACTGATCCTTTATGATTTCACTAATTTCTGTGTCATCCTCTGTGTATGAACCTTCACTTGTAAGTATAGGTCCAATACTGGTCGAGGTTTTTTATTTTGATTCCGCATATGAGAATAAATATTTTGGTGTTCTTTATCTCTTGTACGGCTTTCTGTTCCAATTTAACTTAGTTTC